CCATGCTCCTTCCACTGGATTCATCACTAGGCCAGGGCAAAGAAGGTGCCCCGGATGACACCCCAGGGTGGGGGCGGGGGAGTGTCAGAGGGGAGACAGGCGCTGGGAGCCACTCTCCAGCTTTCATGGTAGAGGAGCCCAGGACACCCCTGCCCCTTGCTCAGCATCCTCAGACATACGATCAACATTTATTAGAGACACAAGGGCCACAATAAGGACACCTATCTCCCCCCGAAGGTCAAATTTACGACCTTAGCCTCCTAATACTTTGACCCTATTCACCATTTCCCAGCAGAGCACTGCAATATTATGGCATGTCAGAAAAATGCCGGGGCTATGTGGCAACATCTTAGTTTCCTCACTGGAGAGACTTCCCTCTGCACGTTCCTGATGAGCTCAGTGGGCAGCTAGAAGTGCTGATGGCCCTCCTTCACAGTCTGTGTGCACGTCAGCAATATTCAGAGAGAAAAAAAAAGCCACTCATGTTCCAAAATGAGCTTCAAAAACCCAAAAGCATGATTTAAAATAGACTTCATAAAAAAGAAATTTGTCATTTGCAGTAAAGATATTAGAGTTATTCAGTTAAAGTTATTGTCCCTCAATTTCCGTCAGTGATTTAAAAAATGTCATTGTGAAGGGAATGGCTGGAGATTCTCAGAGCAGCATTTTAGCAGCAGGAAGCTCTGCCAACAGCTTTGATATTTTCATTTATCACTTCAACCTTCACTCTGACATGGGTGCTCCCAAAAGTTCACAGACATGGCCTGGACCACAAAATTTGAGGACCCACACTCTAACCATGGGTACCGGGTGAAACCTGCCTGCCCAGTTCGGTAAGCTTTGCAGCAGAGGCGTATTCATCATAGAAACATATGCATCCTCTGTATTTTTCTAACAGCCTCTGAAGTGTTCATCAAGCCTCTGTCTGATTAAGCACTTCTGAATTCTGAGCAATAAAATGGTTCCTCTCATGCCCTCTTGGCAGGAGCGCAAATTGATACAACCCTTTTGGAGAGCCATTTGGCTATGTGTATGTATCACAATTAAGAATGCATGTAATCTTTGACCCGGAAATGCCACTTCTAAGAACTTAGTGTACAGAGATACCCTCATAAGTCCGCAGAAGTGTGCATAGAAGGGTGGTCTTTACAGTTTAAAGTATTAGTGAAACACTGCAGGCAACCCAAATCTAGCAATAAGGAATTTGTTGAGCAAACTGTCGGACATCCATAAGATAAAATACTAGGCAGATGTTAAAAAGAATGAGTCAGGGTCATGTATACCAGCAGGAGAGACACACATGCACAAAAATAACTTGTAGAAAAATAGATTTCCATTTTTATAGAAATAATTAAGTACAGCAATAACAGTGCAAGTCTCTGGCCAATGCATTCAATTTGTGAATTCCTAAATTGGATTGAAAACTTTGAACCCTGAATGAAATAATCTAAGAGTTTCAATTCAGTTTCTGAACTCATCCTCCGATTGTTCTCTTCCCTAGCATCCAAGAATAACTAAAAAGGAACTCAAACCCAAATGTAAGACTTCATACCTAGTTGTCACAGCATATAAATGATACTTTTGAAAAGTGACACTTCCAGACTTAGGAAAACCATTTGTGAAAGGAGAAGCAATGAAGACTGGTTTTTGACCACAGTTATCATTTGGTTGGATTCATCTTCTCTTGTTTGTATATTTAAATTGCATGTATTAAAACTGTATATCTTGAATTTATATATTCAAGTACTACTGTGGCACCTCCCCTACAACACCAGCCTTAACGTCCAGGTAAGCAGTGAGGTTCTTAAAATACCTAGGCTGGCCCTGGCTGGGTGGCTCAGTTGGTTGAAGCATCATCCCATACACCAAAAGGTTGTGGATTCCATCCCTGGCCTGAACACATGTCTAGATTGCAGGTTTGATCCCCAGTTGGGGTGCATGTGGGAGGCAACCAATCAGTGTTTCTCTCTCTTCCTCTTTCTCAAATCAATAAACAAACCCTTGAATGAGGACTAAAAAAAATGTCCAGGCTGCATCTGGCAGAAACCCCCCAAACCCCAGGAGAGACAGCTAGGTTTTTAATTCTGGGTTTTTCAAATGTTGTAAGCCAGGTTTGATTCTTATTTGTAATGACAGAGATGCCCAAACCAAAGGTAATTCCAGTGGGAATCAGTATTTGTGGCATGTCACAGGTGACTTACTTCCCTTTAATTTTTCTGAGAGTATTTAAAATAGATCCCAGTAGATTATGATTGATAGATTTTATTATAGGTGGGTGATATCCCCCCTTTTCTCCTCCATGACAGGAGTCCACTTCCCTGCCCACTTGAGGTTGGTTTGCCCACTGGAAAGTGAACGGTGTGATGTGCGCAGCAGCTTTAAATACATGCGCATAGTTTGGCTCAGCCTCTTGCACTTCTGCCCTCTTTCAGGCAAAGACATCGCCTTAGGGAAGTCGTCAGCCCAGAATGACGAAAGACTAAAGCCCACGTGAACACAAACTACAACCGAGAGCCCGGCCCAGCTGACACTCGGGAGATTGGCAGTCCCATGAGCAAAGTACAGGTTTGTTCTTGTAAGCTTTGGGGTTATGAGTCAGCATTATTGATGTAAAACTTGACTAATGCATGGGTGAACAGTCTTGGACCCATTACTCATCTTTACCAAATCTTGTCATTGACCCGTATTTGTTTCTGATTCTTTGTCTTTTGAAAGAAGCCCATTCAGAAACATTCGAGGTTCCTCTTGGTATTCTTCCCCAATCCTGTCCGTTCCTAGAGGCAACCACTCTCCTGCAATCAGTGTTATCGCACTCATGTTTGTTCAAACATTTCCTGTACATTTACATACCTATAAACACAACCTATTTACAGAAATGCCAAGCTGCACCTATCCTCTGTGATTGACTTCTCACCTCCCTCCTCAGTGCTGTATTTCAGGTTTACTCCTGTTGACATGTTGGCTCCAGTCTGCTCACTTTACTGTGATAGTCTGTATTTACCACTGTGTATCTATTCTTTGTCAGTGGACACTGTAGTTGTTAAATGTGAATGGTGTTGAGGAACATTTGTGCACACATCTTTAAGTGCCTTGCTTTTCTTTAAGACTAACTTCTCTGTGGAATCAGTAGACAAGTGCAAGGCTGATTGCTACACAGACTGACTGACTGTGCAGTCTGCAAGGTCAGTTTGCAAACAGTTGTAGTGCCTCTGCTCCAGACTCGCTGGAGCTGCTTCCCAGCCACAATGCCCGAGGCCTTGGGCACCTCTGACTTCCACCCCTGACCTCTGGCTGCGGACCCAGTACCCTGAGACTTCCTGGGAACATCTGATTGCACTTCCTAGAGCTCCTTCCCCATTTTACTCCCTAATAAAGTTCTTCACGCTTTATCTTTTTTGATCATTAAATGATTTTAGGTTCCTGGTCAGGATTGAAATGTTGGCAAGGGAGTTAGAAACAGAGGAGTAAGTGAATGAAGACTCTGTTAATCGTCCTCTTTCTTCCTCACACAGCAATTTTTCTAACAGATGCAATTACACTTGAGAGCTGCAGAGAACGGAATCTTATGTTTTATTTCTTTATTCATCATTTTACAAATGGGATTCACTGTAAAAAGGAAATTGCCTTTGTATTTCGGTTCTCTAGGCTGCAGTGCTCCGAGCTGCAGTTTTGTTACCAGCTGCCGCCACCACCTTGTAAACGCTGGGTGAGCCCCGGCCAGGGAAGCAGGCTAAGAAATCAGACTGAGTCCAGTTCCTTTAGATTCAATATATTTTTATTCTTTGTAAATACAATGAGTACAACCTTTTACCTTCACAAATCAGTTAATTCACTTTGTACAAGAAAAGTTTTACTCAACCTATGATAGTTCAAGTGCTGAATATTTTTCCTCAGTGCTAGAACCTACTAAATCAAAATGTGAAAAGTACAGCAGCTATTTTAAAATGTTTGTTTCTACATTTCCATAAGTATAGGTTCATACCAAAGGAGCAGCGTGTAATGTAGAATGGGGTGTGTGTGTGTATGTGTGTGTGTGCAATGCACACAGTCAAGGCTTTACTAGAAACCAGTTTTCTGAAAGGCATTTAAGAGTCTCAGGCTGTTAGCAGGAGACCAACTGAGCAACCATGCAGTACTCATCACCTTGAAGAACCCTCGGCGTCATGTCTATGTTTGTTTCCTGGGTGGCGTAACTCACTGAACCATCAGCTTGGACCCTCATTGCCTTTGGTTTCAGCAGTATTTTAATGGGACAGCAATCTGCCTCACTCAATCGTTCACCTCCACTTTATTTGGTTTTGCTGTTTTTATTCTTCCTCCCTCCCCTTCTGTTCTTTGAGGAAAGCTCTTCTATTTTTTGAGATGTTATCCAACCTGAAGTCCTGGTGAGAATTTCATTTTCATCCACCAATTCCTTTGACAAGGTTGCCTGGCCTATGGTATTAAAAGAAGAAGAACCAAAGAAAAGAGAAAGGAAAAAGCAAAAAAGCCAATCTCAAGGCATAAGCTACCTTTCACTTATTAACTCAGTTCTGAAGGTCACTTAATGATGTATTACAATAAAAGGGAAACTTTCGATAAAATGCTTGATTTTCAACCTATCCATTGTTTTTCAAATAAAGTCTCCACCATAAGATGGTTCTCGAGGCTGCTGCATGGTGTTACGCACAGAGCTGTATTTGGTTACCCATCTTTATGTGCTAAAAAGGAAAAGAAAGTTCTACCTGTGTTTCAGCATTTGATAGTTCAGAGAGACCTTCCAGGTGAGAGGCAGAGTGGCATGGCCCACAGCAACCCTCAGTTTGGCCCCCTCCCAGGGCACGGCAGCAGCGAGTTGTCTGCTCAGGTGGTCCTGTTACACCCCCTTTCCTTTGGGGCTGCCCCACCCTGGGCGAGGCAGCAGGTCAAAGCTCCTGGAACTGTTTTGTGTCAATGGACTTTTTTCCTGAAGGCTCCACATCCCCAGATGTATGCTTCCTGAAGGGTTTGTTAGTTGAGGCTTGTTCTCCATGGGGACTGGCCCATACAGAACAGTAGGGGCTCGAAGGGCTTAGATATCACTGGATTTGTACATATCTGAAAGCAGTCTTGTAATTGGCACGTTACCGATGGTCTTTTTGAAAAACACTTCTTCTATTGTTGAAGGGCTAATGGAACGTAAAGCTGGCAAAAGCAGCAGAAGTTTTCCAAAGCGACAGGGTTGAGTGGGATATCTGGAATAGGAGAAGCCATGAAAGCAAGGTCAGATCCATTACTACTGGAAATTGACACCTCATACTTGAACACACACCATCTCCAGCACAATGTCCTGGCGGGGCCTCTTTAGCAACGCACTGTCCATGCAGCAGAGTCCCAGCCAGGCACTACTGTCCTTGCTTCACACATAGATAATCTCAGCCTAGAGAACATAAATGATGTCCAAACGACATGATGACTGTCTCAACATTAGCAAAGGGGTTGCATTTTGTTTGGAGAAAAAAAATTAAGAAACACAAGTACTAAGTTTAGGCTAAATAATAAACACAAGGTTCTTGGCATACAGTAGTTAGTGGTAGTATCCATGTCTTCTGATTTTCAAGGCTCCTTCTTTGCAAGGCAATTTCCCTCAAATAAAATGGATTCCTTTTCTAGGAAATTCTCCAAATTATTATTCAGGCATTACACTTAGTCACTTTCAGGAATAATTCCAGCCTTATTACACTGCAAATTAAGGACTAAGTTCTGTTGGGTGGTGCTGCCACCCGACTTTCATGTCAATGAAACTGACGTGTAGTTAAAGATGTGAGAAATTGCTCAACAATTTCCTCTCTTAATGTCCAACACACATCTGTGCTCAGATGTGCAAGTTCAATTTTCTACTGCCTTCAGATGCCTATAGTCACCTCCTCACTGCAGCCCCGATTCTTCTTCATCAATAGCTTCGAGCCAGGTATCCATACACTCCATGGGGGTCAGGGGACTCCCTCCACTGAAACAAACCACCTAAGGTACTGAGGTCTGGGGTCACATATCTGCGACTGAGCCAGACTCAACCAATAGCTACAAGGTGTTAGAAAGACAGATACGGAAATCCTTTCATAGGATTTAGTTAGCTGAATACTGACTTTAACTGCCCTGTAACTCCACCCTACAAAAAATAGAGTCCAGGGAAGCAACTTTCCCACTTGTCGCCTAGCTTTGAGCACATGAGGGTCCCTCTCTTCAACTCGATAAGAGGCTGATAGTTCATTCTGGGCCTCTGGAAATCTCACTTGACTCTTTCACTGAGAGCCTCAAGAGCACCCATGGATGGGGAACACCATGCCACGTTTAATAATGTAATATGAAAATGGTAAGGCTTATCTACATTTTTTAAAGCCTAAATTCCACCACTTACTCTCCTTACTAGAAATACCTCCTATGTTTCTTTGAAAGAAATCCCAAGACCCACGATTCCCCTTGCCGTGGACACTTATTCTCTTTAATAGCTCTGTTCCCCTTCCCAGGATCAGGCAGAAAAGAAGAGAGCCCTGCAGTGGGTGGGACACAGCCGCTGCCAAGACCAGCCTCTCGGTGTCTGCAGCAACCACCTAGTAGCTGGGAGGTTCCCCGGGTGAGAAACAACTGCAGGAAGTGATTACTCCCCAAAAGGATGGATTTTGGAGAATCTATAGACACTTAACTCTTGATTTTCTATAAATAAGTAATCTACTCACCTTCTCACCCATTTTTTAAATTCTCTAGTTAAGGAGGGAGTGGTTAGTCATTCAATGAGAATTACCCCTTACATGTGAAGTACTATACTACCAAGAAATAATAATGTGTGTGTAAGAGAGAGACAGAGACAGACAGACAGACAGACACACAGAGGTGTGTGTCTTTGACAGCTCAAAATTATTATTTTTTTAAATAGCTGTGTCCCTGGTTCCATTCACTGGCAAAAATAAGTGGGAGTTTTCTCTCAGGTGTGTATTGAGTCTGTCACAGATCCATATATTTGATTTTTAACTATAACATATAGTCCGTGTGAAGCGCCAATTCCTAGCTTTCTCCTTATATCATAGATACTTGGAGAAGTAGCTTACAGAGCTGTAACAATGAGCTCACTTTGTAATCTCTACAAACAACTAATGGACAAGTAGTTCGGTTTGCTATGTTAACTTTTCATTTCAATTTCAGATTTCATTTTTCTAGACAGGAACTATGAAAAGAGAATGTTCAATGACTTGAAGGACCTAAGAAATAAGAAATAGTCAGTTTTGTCACATGCATGAGTCTATATCTTAATATTAAGTTATAGCCCTGGCTCCTGTGGCGCAGTAGATTGAGCAGCGGCCTGTGAATCAAAAGGTCACTGGCTCAATTCCCAGTGAGGGCACATGTCTGGGTTTCACAGGCCAGGTCCCCAACTTGGGGCATGTGAGAGGCAGCCAACTGATATTTTTCTCCCTCTATTTCTCCCTGACTTCCCCTCTCTCTAAAAATAAATAAAATCTTTTTTAAAAATTAGAGCTATAGCAGGTATCATGAAACAAGAATAAAGCAGGTGAGGTCCTTACATGAATAATTTCCTTGTTTTGAGGGTAGGGGAAAAGTACTGTACTTGCCATTTCTCTAAAATAGACTTTTGTTAATTTATGCTTTAATTCTCTGAGGCTCTCTCAGATTCTCCCCAGTCACCTCTCCAGCACCCCCATAGCACCTCTTTTGGCTCTAACAAGCACCCCTTCTCCCCATTCAAGGATATCAGCTCATGTGTTGTCTCCTTCATCAATCAGCCTTTCCAGATTCTCCCTCATCCCACATTCCCCAACTAGAATTCATCTCTCCTACTCCCCACTTGGCTTTTCCCTCTTCTCTGGTCTGAACAGGAGCAACACTTCTACCTATTTCATGCAGCACTGAGGGTGGTGTCTTGCTGGCCTGTGTCCCATGCGCTCACCAGCAGAGCTAGCAGTCAGCGAAGGCTGGACTGCATCCATAACAGGGTGTCATATCCTTCTTGGTTTGAAGTTCTTTACACCTTAATGATTCTCAATAGCAAAAGCCGGTTCTAATATACAAATTAGTTTTTAGTGGGGAAATCTGGTACTGGTCCATTTTATAATTTTGAACAAATATTCAGTGCCTATTATATACATATTGAAATGTAACATGAATTTTAAATTTAAAGACCATGACTCGTATACACATTGCACTATCACACAACACAGTTTCAGTGATGTTCTGTGGACAGGGAACAGTTTTATTCAATAGTATTCAAAAGAGGATTTATAATAAAAATAAGGAGATCCCAGACAAATGGGTATTACTCCAAATGGATAGAGTTGACTCAGGGTTTCTCTAACCCCTCACATAAGGAGGACATTTGTAGCTCCTAGTCATCTGATTTAGTTATTCCAACACAACATCTGTAGTGATATTGAGATAATAGAGACAGGCTTCCATGGTCTTCCCTTTAAGACCAACCTAGAGAGTAAACAAGAATAGCAACTCTATTCTAACCTCAGACCCACCACAAACCTAGCAATGTTCTATGCCTCTTTAAAGTCTTGCTTTTTTCCCTCTGAAAATGGGAAGAGAAAGTCTGTACTTCCTTGTGAACTTGCCCATTGCTGGGCCAGCAGGAGGATTGCTGAAGCCCCAGTGGCTGAGAGTTTCTAAAATTAGACAAGCACAGCCTCTGCCAATGGGCCCTGCTTGGCCAGACATACTGGTGGGTGCTAAGATTCCAAATACCTCAACAGATACCAATCAGCAGTTATGATGCGGGTAGAGATGGCCCCTCTAGGAAGTTCTCTAGAAATATCATATAAGGATATTTGGGGTTGGCATCCAAAGAAAGGCACTTGTCTCTTTTAAAGAATGACTTGACTACTCTCTACTATATCAACTATAACACTTAGGCTTTATTTTTTACCTTTCCTACAGCTGGATCCATCCATACAAATGTATTTGACTGTTTTGATGAGTCAGCTTGTTCAACCAGGTCAGCCATAAGGCATCTGGCCATCTGAGTGATGATCTAATTTGACTTGCTCCTCCCACCCATCTTATGAGAGGTAGGTAAGGACATAAATTCTAAGTAAATTAACTGGCTGGCAATAGAACAATCGGTCACAATGTTTGAACTGGCTTATTACCCTCTGCTCAGGCATTCACAATGAAAGCAATTTTCTTAAGGTCACGTTCAAGGCCAGCAAGAGTTACCTGGTATGGATGTAGCTGTTGAGCGTTAGCTGAGCCTCATCTTGAAGAGCTGCAATGGCAGCAGCATTCCGGAAACTTCTCAGTTCAGAACCACTGTGTGTAGGAACTAGAAATGAAGACCGGCAAAGCATGAGAGGCAGCACAGGAAGTGCAGATGGGAAAGTATCCCTCTGGAAGTGGAGAGCCAGCAGGAGAACACACAAATCCCCACAGCCATTAAATCAGGACCAGACTAAGAGTCTCTGCTCCCCTGAACACTTCCTTCTTGCAAAGGTAAGTCTGGACTTTGAGGTGGCTGCATTGGTGAGGTGGCGAAGCTGGAAGGAGAGGAGACAGGAGTTTGTGTTTGCTTACCAGCTTTGAAAGTGACAATGCACTTGAGACAGGCAAATTCGGTAGCATCTAACCGGAGTTGCCTAAACCGAGCCACCACCTCTTGTAAAGCCTGTATTTCAGATATAATCTTGTTCAGCTTCTGGGAATCTGTGTTGTCACCATTCATGCCTAGAATAAAAATATGGAATAAATGTAATATGAAGGCATTTTCATAATTTAATATTGATTTTTGACAAAATTCTGCATATCAATATCTATTCAATTGTCACTCTAAGATATCTGATTCCATGTAAACTGGTTATATTGTATGAAAGTTAATATAAAATCTTCTTTTGGATGATAACAAACACAGTAATTTGCATTTAAATAACAATGCAAGCAGTCATGAATACAACAAAACAACATTATTTGCATTTAAATATAGATTTATAAATGACAGGTATACTCTATTGTTCAGCAGGAATTTGTTATTCTTTACATGTTGTTCTTTTTTCAGTAATGTATTTTTATGGTAATTTCTACAACAAAGTCATTAAATTGTGCAATTCTTACCAGATACAGCCAGTAGAGTGTTAGCATCAACCGGAATGGCCCATTGTGCTATTCCTAGAACAAACAGTTCTCTCCAAGCATCTTCCAAAAGCATCAGCTGTCATACAATAGATGTATAATATAATATAGTGTGTAATTTATAAATTTACAAACAATTTCAATATGTAAATTTCTATTATTTTAAAAAGTGTTTTAAATGCCTGTCTCAGTAATTTTTCCTCTGAATATTCTAGCTTTCCCTTGTTCTCCTTTTTGACAAGGTGCCTATAGATAAGCACATGCATTTGAGAGTCACCATTCTAATTGCCCAAAGTTTGCTTCTCTTGGGAAAGGGTTTACCCTTCCGGTCTTCCTATCCATTTGCTCCCGACCACCTAGCAACTTCTCCCAGAGACCCAGGCTCAATGAAATACCACCAGCAGCATCTCAGCAGGTGGATTCCCCTCATATAAAATGCTGTTATTATCAGGATTCATGTTTCCAGACTAAGCTTGCAGATCTGGGCCCCCATCTTCCTGGTGGGTGTAGGGGGCTGGGTGGGTGTGGGGAGAGAGAGAAAGAAAAAATCATTAATTCCCAAGAGGCATGCAGGGAAATCAGGGTGTAATTATGTTAATCGGGTTTTGCTGAGTTTACCTCCTCTCACTGCCTGATTTTTCAGAGACACATAAGTGGACAGCATCAAGGTGCTTGTCATTTTCATTCTAATAAAATGTGCTACTGAATATTTAAAATGAGAATCCGGCTCCTTTTCCAAATGGATATACTGCATTCCACTTCACTGCAGTTTGCTAGCTGTTGAAGGGCTTCTGCCGAAGGGCTGAGTGGCAGACAGTAAATAAATTTTGTTTGAATTAAAGAGTCTACAAATACTTGTTTTGAGGGAAAAAACAGCCCATTTACACACACACACACACACCAGACAATGATAGAGCCAACCAGTAAACCTGGTCAGAGGTAGAACCTAACCATCTAGAAAAATCTGTTTTTTGAAAAATCTATAAAAATTTGGCCAAATCTGGATGATTTATGTGAAAGCATTTCCTTTTGGAAGCTAAGAGCTAAATTATGAAGGCTTGCAAACAAAATTAAAAGGTTTAACTTTAAAATGTGTTATTTTTTACTTTTACTGCATTGAATACTAAAAAAAGTGATTTAAAAATGCAAGGTGAACAGTATCTAATTCTGGCCATATCTGAAAGTCCAGGTCTTGAAAAAAAAAAAACATTCCATGCTAAAAGATTAGATGTTTTTAGCACATTGCCAGGTCTCTCTGTAGGAAACGCACTTCATATTAAGGGGCACTATTATGCTTTAATTAAGTATAAAATGAATTACAGAAATAAATCCCTTTAGAACTGCTTATTAGCCTTTTGGGAAATTTGTCATTAATTCTCATTCATGCACTGGTAATGGCCCATGGTCGTGCATACTTCATGTTCTTCCTTTCCTTTAAGGTTAGAAAAACTCTGGCAGAGGCCATTTCTGATACCCCGAACCACAAAATTTCTGGGTTTCAGGACACCGCAGGTTTTAGCAACACAAACTTTTACTGCCTCAGATGCCATTTACAGGCACAGAATCATGCACAGTGTCTGTTTGTTAATAAAATCTCTGAAAGCACCCAAAGCCTCAAGGGAGAACATAGCCTGCAGAAGTGTGCAATGCGCTCTTTCATCCTACGTGCGGGTGAATTAGTGGCCAAAATCTATCACAGTGGACAACACAGAGCTGTGATGACAGAATACTAAAACTACTTCCAAAAATCTCACAGGAGAATACTCTTCCATTTCACTCAGTTCCAATGTACTTAAGGAAACAATGTTTTATTAACAATTTTAAAACTCATTAAGAATTTGTGATTAAATTTGATGTTTCAACTAAACCAGATAAAAAATAATAATGTCCTTTTGTTTTCCATAGACCAGATCAAACTTTCCTGAAATAACATAACTATATTTCTTAGTAAGAAGAAATTTGTTCTTAAGAACCGATGTGTGACCTTGGCGGTTTATCCAGGTAACCTGCAGTTTCCAAAGAGTGACCCCCACTGCGTCTTCCCAACTTCCATCCCCCAATACCTCCAGGCCCGCTGGGTCATACCTGGTCTTGCAGAGACAGGGTGGAGAAAGCTGGTACACTCTTGGCCCACTTAATACTCATAAACAGAAGCCTGGCAGCTGATTCACACACTGACTCTGTGGCCACTTCATAGAGATACATTGGGGTCCCATTTACTTCATGGGGGTACTGGGGGGGGGGACGAAACAGAGACACCAGAGAGTGAGGAAACCACAGCTTGGCAAGAAGAGCCAGCTTTTTCATTGTCTAATTCGAACACAGAAGGAGATAGGCATTTGGATGTTCGGCTCAAATGGGCAGCGGCCGTAGGGGCGTAAAAAGCAGACATCCACATTTGTAGAGTTGGGGAAACCGCTGGGAGAGACCCATGTCCACTCTTTGTGGGCCCGTTCCTTCCAGAGGGGCATCTGGCTTTTCTATCCCCTGTAGCAAATTTTCCTTGGGCTGAGACAAGTGCCAGGCCTGTCTCCCAATTTAGACAAGAGCTGCTCGCATTTGTGTAAATAAAAATAGATGTGAAAAAAGTATAAATTAATAGGCATCCCAAACACAAATATGCATATGAGTATTTTTAGAAAGGATTAGTATATTATGGAAATATTTCAATTAGACATCTTAATCATTCACAGAACATTCCCATTCATAACTGACAACATATTCATAACACTACTTTCCCAAGCTTATTATACACATCAAGGGTAAGGAAGCAATATTAAATATTTTGCGTGCATGTGTGCCCAGGTGTTTGGCTTCCCTGCAGTGTGGGGCTGCAGCTGGCCCTCCTGGGGGGAGGTTCAGAGCCCTTCTTGGCCTGGAGTGGGGCCTCTGGGTAGGTACCAGCTGGAAGCCTGAAGGGTAGTCCCTAGGTGGCAGCTTTTTTAGGTGGTTCTGGCGCCAGCCCTGCCAGTAGAAGCTCAGTCCTGGAGTAAATCCATGCTGCTCAGAAGAGAGTGAGGGGAGAGTGAGAAATGAAGCCAGGTTCCTCAAACTGTCCCAACAGGGTGAGTTCCACATTCCTCCTCTACGTTAGGGACCCACAGCTTTGCCCAAGAGAATGGATCCCTGAGATTTGCAACTCAGGGACTCTTCTGCCAGCTCCAAGCAACTCCTTTCTTCTCCAAAGAAATATCTGCTCTCTGGCCCCCAGGGAGATTCCAGGCTGTCCTCTCCGTTCAGACAGGGCTCCACAGCAGGGCGTTTTCCAAAAGTGTGCGTCTTCCTTCCCCCACACCCATATCAAACTTGCTAAAAGGGGCTCTCTGGCGGATGGGCCTGCAAGTCCATATTTGTAGTAGCCCAGAGAGTAACTTTATTACATACTAAAGTCTGAGCACCCTCCGCTCAACTGGGAAGAGCTGAAAGGCCCAGAGCTCCCTGCAGGGCTCTACCAGTAACCTTCCAGGTCTCTCCACCTTTTGCCTGACCCCATCACAGATCAGAAGGCATGGGTGCCCCTCTCATTTCCCTCCCCTCGTCAGGGGACTCGCAGGAAGGCCACTAACCTTGGGTGTGGGTTGAGCCAGGCTCACGAGGGTCTGCCTTTCTGGGGTGGCGGACACCGTGGCCAGCTCAAGGCCATGTGGCTCCAGTTGCGTGACCGTGGTGAAGAAGGCTGGCGCGGGCAGCGCTGCAGAAGGGAAGTGTGCGGCTGCCCCGTTCTCTTCCTTGTGTCCACGGAAGTAGAGGGCCACCTGCTTACGGATGGTGGACGTCCGAGGGCCCCGTTCATGCTGCACGGCTGCAGAGACAAATGGACACACACCTGGGATTAGAGTCTTGGCAACACTTAGCCACTGCCGTGCTGCAGGGCCAAACGCCAGGTCAGGGCAGGCAAGGCCAAGGGAGAGGTGAGGAGGGGGAGGAGTATGGGCGCTCTTCTCGTCTGACTGTACGCCTTAGGGAGGCTGGGAAGAGGAGCCCGGCACAAAGTATCGGGATAACGACACGCCTCCGGCAAGAGTTGGTGAGTTCAGGGCTCCTCCCCGCACAGGGAGGGTCTCAGGCACACACAGACCCTCTGGTAGGGAGTAGCTGGGTGTCCTGGTCCACAGTCTAGAGGAGAGGGGGCCACTAGATCTCTGCACAGACTTTTCCCAGTCGGCCCAAGTTCTCCCCACCTCCACCCCGCCCGTGTGGGAATGTGGTTTGGCCTCTGAGGGACGCAGGAAAAAAGGACCTGAGCCCAGGAACACTGGGGGATGGGACCAGTGAGAGCCTATCTCGGAGCATGCTGGAGGAAGGCAGGGGAGATGTGACAATTACCACCAACAGTTTCAACAAACAAATTAATTCAGGGCAATCTTCCGCTCGCCTAGCTTGACAACTTGTCAATACACAAGTTCAACAGGTTGGACGCTCCCTCCTGCTTCCAGGGCCTCGGAGGAAAGAGCTCTCCCGGGTGAGCGGGGTTCCTCCTAGGGCGGCCACCTGTGTTGCCGCCACCGCACCCGGTGCGGAGACCCCATTCCTCGCTCAGGGCCCTTACTCCCCAGCCCGCCCGGCCCGGGGCGCCCTCGCCTGGCTACCACCCTGCAACCACAGGCCCTAGTTCTTGCTGCAGGCGCCTTTAAGAGCCCTTCTGGGAGCTGGGTGTCGGAGGCACTCACAAATGTCACCCAACCTCTTCAGCCCCTTTCTGCAGAGGCAAGAAAAAACCTCGGAATAGCCCGGGTCACCACAACGATGGTCCCAGTTTTGGAATCTTGTTGAATTTCCAAACAGGGACGCGAAATTCCATGTGACCCTCCCACCTCCCACACTTGTCTCCCAGTCCCCAGGACCTGCTCCTGCCCCGGAGACTAACCAGACTGCGAGGTCCTGCAGGAGGCTGACAGGCTCGGGGGTGGCTACCAAAGGACTATGCGGAGAAGTGAAATGAGGAGCTGAGACGGGGGACAGGAAACGCCGCCTGCGTCCCCAGCAGGGTGGGGCCCCAGGAACGCTGCCTTCTAGGGGGCGATCGTGGGTTACGGGTTTCTTATGCGGGCATGGGCCTTACCCTCGGCAGAGCATGGGGGTCGGGAAGGAACTCTCGGTGGAAGATGGGGAAGGATAAGGACGAGGCTGAGAGCCTGAGGCCAATCCTAGCATCCAGAAAGAGGTGCTTGGGAGATAGTTTACAAGCATGAGTGCCGCGTATTTTCTGTACCTACAATTTACTTATTAATCAACGTTAGAAGAGTAAAAAGATGTACTAATTACCGTCTTTGTTCATGTTGACCTCCAAACACTTCTTGAGCCGACACGCCCTGCACTGGTTTCTGTGCGTCTTGTCCACGGGGCAGCCTCCCTAGAACGGGGCGCAGGCCGTCAGCGGCCCCGGGCCTTCGGACGGGCGACGCGAGGCCGGCGCTGGGCCCGGGAAACCCGGGGCCGGGGGAGGCGGAGACGGACCCGGCCACCGACTCCTGGGGCCGTGAGGCCAGGTCCCTGGGCACCAGCACGGCCGGGTAGAGAAAGGGCTGGGATTTCAGGGGCTACTTCAAGAGACCCAGCCCATGACCCTGTGAAAGTGGACAAGGAGGAAAACCCTCCTCCGAGCAGGCTAGGGGTCACCTCGTCTGTTTGCCCGACTCTGCTGTGCGCGGAGAAGCTGCGGAGCGGGACTTCCGCGAGTGGAGAGGGTGGTGACGCTGGGAGGAGGCTTTTTCAGGACCGGAGACAGCGACCTGGCCCTGCGCTCGGTCGGGGGCAGGCTGGCCGGCCGGGCTCCCGGCCTGTGCCCCTCCCGGGAGCTGACTTTCCGCCTCCGGTCTTAGTCTACCTTTCTGGGTCAGGTATCTCCCATTTACTCTTTCCTCTCCCGTTTTCAAACTCTTGCCTTTGTGTGGAAAGCCATCCTTATAACCAGTATGGCGAGCGTCGTCTTACTGCCTGGTCCGAGCCCTGCACACACAACCACTCCCTGAAGCTGAGGCAGAGGCCAGGGTGGGTGCGAGGGCAGCACCCACGGAGCAGAGGGTGGGCAGGGAGCAGCCCGAGGCCCAGGCGAACCCCAGAAGTGCCCACCACGGGAATATGGCCAGGAAGAGACTGTGGTGGCCTGTCTAACAAAAGAGTAATACAGGCTGAGAACATTAGCAGGAGAACTGAAAAACGAGGCAATTGCCGCCTTGGACATATCGATCCGAGACACGTGAGAAAATAAATATTTTACCAAAAGCAATTTTATGAGAAAATGTTGGCCATTGAAGGAAGAAATTTACAGAGGAAGTTTCTTATGGAATTCATTCAGTGTTAGGCGTTACTACCGAGAAAATACATAAACAGTCATATCTGCACCTATATTTTATATACATAAAATACATAAGTTTGATGCTCTTTTGTGTTTATCAATTGATACTGCTAAAGTTGCAATGGGAAGAAAGATAGTAAAGTAAATGCACTTTTATTTTGCTTCATAGTATCAAAATTTCATATATGCTGAAGTTGGACTAAGTGTATTTTCTAAAATATCCCTTTGGAAAAATTACACATTAGAAAATACGGTTTTAGACTATCACACCCCTCTGATTTAAAATATAGATTTATTTAAATAAAGGTAGGTCACGGGTTCATAACAATTTCTAAATGTCCTTACTGCTGTTAATAATAACTTGGAATATTATTTACCCAATCCTCAAGTAAAAAAGAGAAAGGAACTAATTTTTGTTTCCTGAGTGAATTCTTCAGGGCATCTTTGCTGGCCTGCGTAGTAAAGATGTAAAGAGGCTTAAAGAACTTAATGAATGTAGTCATAAGTCTATCCTCAAACATTATTCCCCCACTGTCCTGATAAACATGTCAATGCAAAATGGAAGGCTTTGCTAGTTCTTAAGAGAGTCTTCAAACCAGATCCTATGTATGTGCATATCTAAAGTCGGGGAGAAAGATGATTCCTCAGCCTAGGCCATTCATTCTCTCTACAAGGAGAGAACCACCAAGCCTGATGAGTCTATTATCACTCCTTTACAAATACTTGGACTGACATCAATATAAACTGATAGCCAACCTCTTTGAAAATATCAAGCATAACGTGAGGTTTTGATTTCCCAATTCTGTGCATTGCATAAAAGTAACAGACAATTTAAGTGGAAGCCTGCTTAAACCTGATGACCCACAATGACCCCAAGCCCCTGCGTAGCCACTGGGACGCAGGCCTGTGAGTGTGCAGTGTGGTGCATCTACATGGTGAAGCTAGAGACTGATCCAGAGCTGTGAACCCACTCAAACAAGCGACAGGCCTGGAGAGTTCTGATTTACTTTTCCAAATGCAGATAGATGTCTTCTTGTTCTTGTTCATAATCCATATCCACCAGAGACTGATATAAGCAGACATGGCTTCAGAAAAAGAATTATTCACTAGCACCACATATGTCTGAATAAATATGTGTATCATATTGATGATAGATTAACTAGTGAAGGTGTTGTACTGTTCTGGCTACCAAAGGATGACTGCTGACTAAAAAGCTCTCCGGGATCTCCTTGAGAGCCATGATGGTGGCGCTGTGCTGAGGGTCTGTGTGCCTGGCTGAGGAGAAGGCAAAGTGTGGGGCCGAAAGCCTGAGCCCCTGGGTTGAAATAAGCTTATTACTCAGCTGCGACATGAATCCAGGGTTTTGTCCACTCATCTGGGAAGCTTTGGCTCATGCTCAGCACATGCCCCAACTCACCTGTTTCTCTGAGACAGGTCGGCCTGCCTAAGACCAAAACACAGCCAACCAGGCACGTCTTCTAAGCAGAGAAAGAGGAGCTATGGGGACCGGACAGAAAGGCCCAGTTACTCCTTCCTTGGAAGTCTTCTCTTTCTGTCCAGTCTGCCCTTTTCTGACAAGGCTCAGCAAGAGTCAGAACAGCCCTGCATCTCCACAGTTGAAAGGGCACACCCTCACACAGCCCATCCTTTCTGTTCCAGTGGCTGACACTCACTTTGAGTCTCGACCTTGACCGGGATGCCCTGTGCCTTTTACTTCTGCCATCCCAGGCAGTGCTCAAGGCATTGGTCTGCTAGGAATGGGGGTGTGGTGGACACACAGCACAACCTAGCCCTTTCTTTCCAGCTTACACGTGAGGTGTAGATTCTTAAGTCCTTAGGTCCCTTAGGTCCCCTGGCCTGACTTTATAGCTACTGAGTGTGGGCCTCAACCAGTGTCAAAATTAGAGGATTAAATGTATGTATGTGTGTGTGTGAGGGGTTGACACCGGGGTTTCAGACTTCCTACTGTAAACTCATTGTCTTCCCTTACCTGCCCCTCCCCAAACCCCCACACTGCCCTTGCCTTACCCAAGGGAAAGGGCCTCCAAGAGTTGAGTCAGGAAAGAGAGGAAGGGAAAGGTCAAGGTCTGGTCCCTCCGGAGCAGCCTGGAATCTCAGAGGAGAGCCCTTTGGCACAAACAAAGGAGGGGGAGGCAGCAGAGGGGAGCTGGGTGAGGCTGCCTGGCTAAGGTACCTGGTTTCCAGATTTGCAGACATACGTCCTATTCCTTCGGATACTCCGTTTGAAAAAACCCGAGCAGCCGTCGCAGGCGTAGACCCCGTAGTGTTTCCCGGAGCTGCGGTCGCCACACACTTTACAGGGTATATCTAAAATTCGGCCTGAAATCGCACAGAAGACAGGGAAGGGGGGAAGGGGCGAGGAGGGCGGAGGAGAGGGAGGAAAGGGGAGAGGGAGGGAGAGAGAGATGCTAAGCAATCTGACCTCTGAAGGGATTAGCACCGAAGCTGCAGTAAAAGCAAATAATGAAGTGATTTTATAGCCAAACTTTTTTTCCTTGAGCAAGTGTCACTTTCCTACAATGAGCATTATTCATGCACCGCTACGTGTATTTGGGTCTCCTCTAATCGCTGAGACTCATTTCGGAATAAAAGATTACAGCAGGCCGAGGCGGCAGCGCTGCCGGCCGCTGCCTTTCTGCTCCTCGGAAAGTTTGGGCGCCTGCCTCCCCCGCTCCTGCTTTTAACAGAGAAAGTTGTCAGTGAAGCGCACGAGGAGACAAACTTGAAATGTAAAAGGAACCAGAAGAAAAACAAACACGGCTGGAACCAGGGATGGCGGCTGGAAGGCAATCGAGTTTTCTCTGAGCTGCCGGGCGGCTGTTATTATGTGGATTATTATTGTAATGCTAATACTAGGATTATTAATGATAATAAGGGTGGTGGTAATTGCCCAACTTTCTCTTTACCTATGTTTTTTAAATGCTTGGTGGACCGCTTTTGAGAAATATGTCTTTTAGGAAAAAAATTTCCTCCCCAAAGCAACTAGGTAGCACAGGGCTAGAGGCAAGTCAGAAAAGAGTGATCGGTGAGAGTGTGATTTTTTGACCCGCGCGGAGGGAAGGCACCCCTTTCTCCTTCCATCCCCCAACTTCTTTCTTAAAGACTCTCCTCTTTCTGGACCCTCTGGGCCTCTTCTTTCCTGTTTTCCCACTGCTGTCCTAGGCTAATGTTTTGAAGGGTCTGAGTTATTTTTCTAAAGCCCCCTCCCTCCACACACACTCCCGCTGGCCTCTAGAGCCGCCAAGTTTAAGAGAACTTTCCTCGAAATCCCCTCAAGCCTCGGGTGGCTGCGGACCCTGGGGCAATGTAAGGGATGACACAAATACTGGAAAATTCAGTAGGGATTCAGTAGGGAGAAGGATTCAGAGAATCCTTTTTTTCTAAGAATAGAGAAGAGTACAGCCCGCCTAAAGTGCTTTGCAGGAACTTGGAAATCCTTCCTCCTACAGAGGGAGTATTAAATAAAGTGTTAACTTAATTAACACTTTAATGATAATGATGTTAATAATAATTAACTTCTTAACATTTAATTTCCCTTTCGGCACAGGGAGGCCTGTCTGGACCCCTGCGGCCTCAGGCCCCGTTGAAACTTGACCGCTGCCCCCTGGGGCGCTCAGGCTGGAGTGAGCAGAGGCCGGGGTGAGAACCGGCGGGAGGAGTAGAGCTGGAGAGGGTGCGGCGGGGACGGCCCCCCTGAGACGTCGAAGGTGGAAACTTGGCGGTAGATTCCGAGGCGTCTGGGCGGGCGCTCACGCGATGCGGTGGCCCGGGAGAGGCCAGGGTGGACGGGGAGGGAGGGAGCGGGTGGGGCGGCGGGGGGTGAAGTGGGAGGGGGCTCGGTAACCACCAGGCTCGGCCGGGGTAATTACAACCCCGCCGAAGCACCTGCCTATAGAGCCACCAGTGACCCGTCAAAAAGAGTAGCATGGGAATTCGGACGGCGACAAAGGCCCGCAGGGGAGGCGCGCGGCGCGGCGACCACCGCCTGTGCACCCCCTCTCCCGCGGGGTGGGAGGAGTGATTTGCTGGAGGAGGGGCTGGAGAGAGCACTGGGCGGCCACAGCGAGTCTCGTTCCTCAACCCCTTGGGCCTGCCACTGCGCCCGAGGGAACTCACGGCCACCCAGCGGGCCCGGACTGGAGCTCTGCTGCTCTGGCTTCAGTCCGGAGGTGCAGCAAATCTGATTTCCATAATTTGCAACCATCCTCTTGTGCATAACACACCCCTCTGCCAGAGCTAGGGCCCACGTTTGGGACCCCGACGCCCCAGATGTCCTCTTTTTCCCCGGGGCACTTTTGATGATGCCGCCATGAGCTCGCAGGAGGGGCAAGGTTAGGGACACACTCTCCAGAGAACCCCGATGGGGTGGAAGAAGAAGCCGGCTCCCGCGGCTGCGGGCCGGCCCTGCTTCCGCGTAGACTGGGGCAGCTTAGAGACCCGCCGCCCTCTTGGGGCTGGGAGGGTGGGAAGCAAAAATTCCAGAGCCAGCGAGTCTGCGCCTCAGAGTCCGCTGCCCAGCCAGCTAAGGCGACTTGGGGTCACGAGGCAAGCTGGTTGCCCCCGTTGCAAAGCTCCTCTCATTTAACAAACCGATCGAGCTCCGACGTGAGGCGAGCGGGAGTTTCCTGAAGCTGGAAAACCGTTCTTAACTTCCCTCGCCAGGGGTCCCATCGGGGCTTTTTGTGTGTCATAATTGCCTGAAGATATATGGCAGCTTCGATTACTGTAATTACCATCAGGGGCTGTTGAAAGAAGTTAGTCCGGGCAGCAGGGGTGACTGACCGGGGTCTCGTTACCACCCAGGCGGGGTTCCAGGTTGACAGCGTACTGCTCTCCAGCCGCTAAAGGCCGCGCGCAGCAGGGGCTGCAGACCTCGCCCGCTGTGCGCCGACCTCCACGCGCAGGGCTGCGGTGGCAGAGCCGTGGCCGCTCTGCCAGGGCCCGGCTGCAGCGGCGCCGCAGGCGGGAGCTTCGGTCCTTGGGGCCGGAGAGACCTCAACAGCAGCGGCTGGAACCGCGCAGGGGACTCGAGGCTGCCGAGGCCAAACTCAGGCTCCCGGGAAGTTGGAAATCCTCCAAGTTTCCCCGAGGCATCGCTCTCTCTCTTTTTCTAAAAGCTCAGAGGGTCCGACGCTTCCTAGTCCTCAACACGCGGGCGGGCCCCGGGGAACCGGCTTCGAGCCCGCCCCTCCTCTTGCATCCGAAGCCTCGCCTTTCACTCACTCCCTCAACCATGGCGGCTCTGCACCCCCAAGTGGGTGCAGGAATCCCACACTACTTACTGCCAGGGAAGGAGGCGCGGGGACCTGTCACAGGGCGAGCGAGCAGGAGGCCTGCCCAGGCCTGCCAGAGCTGGGGTGTTTGCGATGAGGCTGGGAATGCAACGGGAAGCGTTTCTTTCTTCGCCTCCTGGGAAGGACCCTCGCAAGAGGGACAGTGGGCCACAAACCCCGAGCTCGCCTCCCGTCCCAGAGAACCAAACAGCCAGGCCGGGATAGGTCGGAGGCTAGACACTCCAGTCCTTCTCAAGTGTTGGCTCTGATGCGGACCGTGGTTGTTTCCTTCTCTTTTCCCTCTGCCTAAATCTAAGTATTTCTCCTCTTCTCTTTTTGTCCAATTTCATTTTACTCTAATTTTTAAAACGGCAGCGCCCAAACCAAAACAATCGGACAAAGTGAAAACATCCCACGTTTTTATGAAGGGGGGAGGTGGAATTGCATCTCACACAAGTAGGACTTTACTACCAGCTCTCAGAAGTGTCTCCGACTCTGCCAACTTTCAGAGTCGCGACAGGAAGGGTGAGGGAAGGGAGAAAGGGATGTTGTCGAGGAAAGCACGAATCGACAAAAGTGCCACAGGTGAAAACAGCAAGGGCGGCAGAACTACGGGACAAGGGGTCTGCAGCAGCAGCCAACTCCACCCCTGGACCCTGGAAACTGCAACCCCGGGACACCAGAAGGCGGGAACTGAGATGCGGCTGGAGCCCCGAGCATTGCGGCCCTGCTGCCCAACGCCGGCTCTGGCGGCACATCCTGGGTTCTACAGTATCCGCTCATGCAAAGGCCCTTGCCGGTCCACCAAGTCCTGCCCTAGGGCGTCTAGGGGTGGCTGGAGATCAGCCTCGGCTTGGCATATGGAGGGACAGCCGCCAGCTAAGCAAGTTTGAAGGAGAGAAGCGCGCGAAAGGAACAGGCCGCACCTCCTGCCTCTGCTGAGCTCCTGCTCGAAAAGTCCTTGGGATTAGGGATTTGGTCCTCTCTTTGCTAGAACGGTTCGCCATACTTTAAATTCCCCAGTTATGACCTACGAGGATTTAGGATTAAGGAAAATGTGACTTTAAAATTGTTTCTGCTTCCCAGTTTGCAGGATTACTTGAAAAAGCTATAAACGGGGTGCAAAGCATTCCATTCAAAATCCGCTTTCCGCAGAGTTGCTTCTGTGCGCCGCAGCTCTGAGTTTTGAGCCGGCATGTTATCCTGCTGCTGCCCGAAGCCGGGGTCTATTTCCCGCCCCCATCTCCCCTTCCTCCCCACACCTGGCCTCTAAGAGGGGGGAACTCGCCGGACTGGTGGGCTCACTGCACGGGTCGCAACCTTCCCACCTTACCAGGAAGGGGTAGGGGAGAGACTCAAGAAACTCAGGGGTAACGAAATTGTTCTGCCTTCACCACGAAATGTTCCAACTCACAGTCTACAAGGAGCTGGGCCAAAGCGCACACGCCAACGGAGTACCTCTCCGGGGTTCGAGGAGGCTGCGCTCTGGGTAGGCTCTTCAAGGCCTCCCCGCCCGCCCACCCCAGGCTGCGCGTCTGAGCCCCGCGGCGGCCCTAAAGGTACCCACTTGTTGATCCGGCCGGCTTGCTCATGCTTGCAGTCCCCGGGCGGAGCGGTTGGTGGGCGCTGCTCGAGTCCCGGCCGGCAGCGTCCGCTTCGCCGCCGGGCTCCGCCACTCTCCAGCCGCCCTCCAGCCTGCGAGGCTCCCGAGCTGGACAGGTGGATGTCGGTCGCGCTCTGCACTGCTCCCTGGGAGCTCAGAATTCGTTCCACGGTGGAAATTTAAGCATCCTTAAGTTTCTTCCCGGCTCTTGCAAAACTGCAGCTGCTAGGAATGTTGCTTGCTATGGACACACGCATGAACAGACAAATGGAGAGGCGGACAAGCAGATCGAAAGAAGGGAGAACAAGAGAGGGGGACTGAAGGACAGAGATGGGAACACGAAAATGGTCTTCCTACGGAGCAAGAATGGCAAAATCCCTCTCTTTCCCCATTCCTGTCTCTCGGTCTTCAATTTATCCCTCTACATTAAGCACGAAGCGTGTGGACAGATCTCTACAGACCGCTGGTCTTCTAAAGAAAGCAGGAAAACACAACCCAGTCTCAAGCAGATGGGCTCGGCGCTGCCCAAACCCGAGCGCGTTGTGGGAAAACTAGATTGCCGGGAAGTCTTCCGAAGGAGCAGGCGGCCAGGTCCTGATTTCCCGGGAGAGCCGCGTTCTAAGCGGCATAGGGTCCCCGAAGTTCATTACCCCGTGACTTTGTGCTCGTCGCGGCGGGCTGGGTCCGCTGTAATATCTCCAGAAGCGCTCTGACAGGCAGCCGCGGGGAGGGGAATAGGGCGTCCCTGGCCCACTTAGCTTTTCCCCCAACTCCTGGCGGGGTCTGACGTCAGCCATGTGCGGGGAGGGGATGGGAAAAGGGAGGGGGTTAAATGCTAATGATATTAATGAACCTCCAAGCGGCTCCCGAAGAAAATGCAGGCACTCTTAGAGCTGAGTTAGAGTGTGAATATATGGGAGTGTGGTTCTGTGTGTGCATGATGGTGAGGACGGTGCTGCTCTGGTAATAAAAATGAATTATTATATTTCCTGGCTAAAGGGAAGGGGAGGGGAGATGGAGCTTTCTCAGAACGCTTTTCCCCTTCTCTCCAGAGTGCCGGACACATTCATGGAAGAAACTGGGTGGCTGTGTGTTTGAGTCTGATGGGGCGCGCCGGATGTGGCCAAGTGAGTTGGTTCCTTCTTGGTCCCGAGCCCCTTCTGTTGGGTAAAACTCGGATCTGGCCCGAGGTGAGTAATTATTCATTTGTAACTATCTATGGAAAGTTAGAGCTAAGGACGGCGTTTGGGGACTTGGGGCTGGGACGGGGTCTGCCGGAGGCTTCGAGCTCCTTAGGCCTTCGCGCTGTGCGCTCGGGCACCAGTCGCGGGGAAGGTGCGGCCCGCTTCCCAAAGCGAAGTCCGCACGGAGCAGGGAGAAACTCCTGTTACCTCCACTATCTGCACGGCAGAGGCTGGAGGGCAAAGCTTTTTCTCCTGAGGCTTGACCCCTGGGCTTTGCTGGCTCCCTCTCTCCAGGCCAAAGGATTGTGAAGAGCTCCTTCGCCTCAGCAAGCTTCTCCTATCCCCGCTTCCCGGAATTCCTGTGCTTCTCGCGTCCTGGTCCCTGTGCGGCTCTGGGAGAGCGCGAGCCGGCTCTCCCAGATTCTGATCTCGCCGGTGATTCTGATCTCTTAAGAGATTAACTCTTTTTTAAGCTCACCCAGCCGCTTGAACTTGTCGAACTAGGTAGGGCTTGCCAGCCTCTCCTCCGGGCGTAGGTCTGCCCAGAGGTCAGGGGTCACACCTTGTGCTCGCCAGTCCTCTGCGGCGCTTCGGTCCCCCGCGAGGGGGTGGAGGAGGGACGCGAGGGGAACCCGGGCCAGTACTCCGCAGTTCCGCCCGCTCAACCTCAGCCCCACAGCGTTCGGACTCGCTGTCACACCGGCCTTTTCATCAGAGTAGGCGTGTACAAGTGAGTGCGTGCAGGTGTCCCCCACTCCCCCACTTCCCCAGCCCCAGCCCCAGCCCTCAGAGGGCGCAGCAGCTCCGGGGCAGAGGCGTCCCTGGGGCACAGGTTGTGCGCTGCGGGCTGTGGCGGCGGCTCGTGACTGCAACTTTCCGCAGCGGCCTGGGCTGGGCCCGGAACGCCTGGCCGCACACACCAGACTCTTCAAAGCCTGCGGTCCTCTCCAGTGTTGCGCAGCAACCAGGGTTCGGGGGCTGCGGACGTCCAGAAAGACCAAGAAGGGGGACGGCTGTCTCCTAAATGACACATTCTTGGTTTTTTGAATTGAGATAAGATTAGGAAATTATGGGACAAAGCCATAAATGAGGTGTTTGTTGTTGTTGTTGTTGTTGTTATTGTTGTTTTTCCAGGAGGCAGGACAAGTAGTCAACATTTTTGACCGCCAAGCTGGGCAGACGCTTGAGCAGCGAGCCCCGCTAGCGACATGGCGCAAACTGGAACTCAGTGCTCAGAAAGGGGAGTTATTTCCGGGCGGGGTTTAGACTCAGTTACCGCTGAGCCACCTGGTGTTCTGGTTCCCTCCAGAAACCCACTTGCCGCCATCACCACCACCATCCTTACGTGGACGCAGAGGGTCCACGGAACTTATCTGGAGCGAAGATGAAGGCTGGTGTCACAGTAGACCTGGGCCTGTCTCCCGGGAAACATTTCGGAGTCTGTGGTGAAAGGAAGTCTAGAAGCCGCTTCGTGGGTGCAGGGGCTGCAGGTGGGAGGACTGCGGCTCTGGACGGGTCCAAACTACCCCTCGCCGTACTCCCCCACACTTTTACCCTGCTGGTGTATTTGTAGGCATCAAAACTTTAGGGAAATACTTTTGAGGCTCACCAAATTGTCTCAAAATCAAAATGGGAAGGTTCCCCTTTCTCCTGATACCAGCCCCTAATCAAGCAGAATGTCAATAAGTCCACTGAATAGAAACACATGGGCGCATGCGCGCGCACACCCACACACCCACACTCACCCACCCACACACACCCCAGCCCTGGCAAAAAGCGCAACACGCATACACACACCCTCAGCATGTTCCTACTGCGTTCTGCCCTCCCAGCTGTAATTATCCTCACGCTTTGCATAAATTACAATGCAGTTCTGAAATCATCATGATGACTTTCTGGCATGATTGGTTTGGTGGCAATGGCAGCGACAAGATCCAGGGTAGGCGGGAGGGGCCGGGGCTTGGAACCCACCAGGTCCAGTAGGAGCCTTGAGCCAGAGCGCTGGCCTGCTTCCACTCACTTGAGGAGAGCTGCTGGCGGCCACGGAGAACTGGGATCTAAGGTGTAGAGACCTGGGGGGTCGGAGTGGACCCCCAGGGTCTACAGCCTCTGCAAGACAGGGAGTGTAACTTTTTATCCTCCCACCTGCAGGCCCCAGCACACTGCTCGTGTACTGGGGCAATGAATGAAGGAGGAAAGTCCCCTGCAGATTTCCCAAGAAGCTTTTGGAGACAGAGTAAGGCTAAACTAGCTGGAGGCCAGAAGGTGGGGGTTCAGCCTCTGTCCCAACTAACTGTGTAAATCTGGGCAAGTGACTAGACCTCGCTGGGTGCCAGATCCTTTTATGTAAGAGGACTATGCCCTGTTCAACCGTAACTTTCCAAGATTTTTTCCTGCGAGTCCAGTAAGAAAAATGGTTGATAAGCGACCAACGCAACCTATGTCAAATATAGCTTTTGACAGAGGCAAGATCTTAAGTTCAAGGTTGAGTTTAATAGCAGCGATTTTCAACTGGCGCGCCACAAGGATATTCAATATATGCAGTACCTGACTATTTCAGTCAGGGGCACTGGCCTCTTTTCCCTTTGATTGTCAAATTGGAAAATGACATCTGGTATGAAGGTATCAAAATTATACCTATCTTGTCAGATTGGCAAAAATACATATTTTTTTGGTGTGGCTTAGAATTTTACTAATTAGTTTATATGTGCCATGAGGTGGAAAGGGTTGAAAATTGCTGATTTATAGCATTGGCTTGGGAAGTGAGTGGAACCACCCAACACGTTCCCAAGCCCTTCTAAGTCCAAACATAGCCTCTGACTTCCTTGGTAGCCTCTTATGAGCCTCTTAGCTCTCAGACAAACCAAAGCCAAAAACACAGGGAAGGAATCTTTTATTCCAGGATGTTTACATTTTTGTCCAGAATATAAGAAATAAGAATAGGAGAAGGACCATGGAATCTAGGGGGCTCTAGGTCCATCCCCCAATCCACCTCCTTCATCAATTACTGAGCAGCCCTATGTGCCAGAGATTAACGACATGACCCCTTTCTCGAGGATGTTACAGGGGGACGAGCACGTAAAAGATGGTAAAAGTTTTGGAGTAGACTACAGTGCAGAACTTTCTGGAAAGATACAAGGGATCCCAAACCAGTGTGGAGTAGGGCAAGCTGTCAGGGAGTGCCCTGGAAAGTCAGACCTGAGTTAGGCAAATTTACTGCCTCTGAAAACGGTGTCGTATTGACTCTCAGGCTAAAGCCATTTCCCATCCATTTTAAAAGGGAAGCAGAGTCCTGTCAACTGGATTGTGTGAGAGGCACAGGAGTGCGGGGCAGCACGTCGCCTGGGTCCTACCCCCGTTCTCAGTTCACTAGCTCCTCTAAAATGCCATCTTTCTCTGTTACTGTCCCTTCATGCTTCTAAATTAAGACAGCAAAGAAGAAAGAAAAGGCCATCTCATCAGCAAGCAGAGCCGATGAAGCTGGTGTGGAACAGAGGCCCCTTTCCCAACCACTGATGACTCCCTCTCAGAGGTCATTCTAGGACCTCTAGAGCCGCATTCCTTTAGAATGGCCTTCACTTCACTGCTGAGCGGAGCTGAGAAATATTCAGACCACAAAATGTCTCAGGAAACCTACCAGTTGAACGTGGCTGAGGGTCAATGTTCCATCTCCGAAAGACACTGGCACAAGTTTTTATTTGTTTGTTTATTTACATGAAGGAGAAAGTTGGTTTTTATTTTCTTCCAAAGAATAATTTAACCTGTGGTGGGTCGTTGCTTCCCCAGCGGATGGTGAGTGAGAGAGAAGGTGGGCCACGGAGCAGGGTGT